CAAGGGTGGATGGGGGCAAAACTTTAAATGTGTGCAGGCAGCTACTGACACAAATATACTACAGGCAAAGAATTAATTATGACTTTTCAGAGCAGCCTAATGGAGATATACACCCTTTCTAAGGGTTAAGAGACACCAAAATATGCACAAAGCTCCGTGGGTTTGGTTCTCATTCTCAAGTGACCCTGAGGTCTAGTAAGGGTCTGCAGATGCATGTTCTTAGCCTACTAGCAATGCAACTACCTTGACATATATCAGTTAATAGTGATGGTGGTTGACACCTTAGATTTCATATTTTTTATTTATATGGCCATGAAGAAAGAATATTTCAATCATTTTTTGACAAATTACCATCTACACATCCATTACTTTGCGACTATTTTCTAAATTACATGCTCATAAAAAAAAGAAATCCGATAATTGATTGACAACTTTTGCCAGTGAAAATGCTCAGTTTAACAGGTCTCAGCTTGTCCTTTTCTGGTGAATTTCAGACCTGAAATGGGTATACAGAAAGAACTTTGTTTAAGGAAGTCTATAGGACCTACACGTTGCTTTCTTCTTTTCCAAGATTTGATGATAAGTAAACAGCTCTAGGGTAGTTAAATAGAGCATTGGAACAAACACTCAACAGAAACACAAGCGAAATTTCTGCTTAGGTTTGTAAAGAGTATTTCATATTGCTAAGCTGAAAACCTTAAGGTTATCAGAGCCATTTACAAAACACAACTGATGTAACATATTCTCTATCAAAAACAAAGGATGATCAAAGCAGAATGAGATTATAGCACTCTGATTTGTGTTTCAGTTCCATGAATATATTTGTATGTGTCTATATATGTTCCCATGCGTCCATAGTAACCACAGCCATAACCCAGAAAGTATGGTGCTGGGAGCTTTGCTCTGAAAATCAAGTAGCCCATTAGGAGGCATAAATATTAATAGAGCTGTCTAATCCTACACTCTCAAATGAGGTAGTTCAGATCATGAGTCTTCGCATTTAAAATTTATTCACTGCACTGACTAGAATAAGAAACAGAATCCACATGTGGAGAAGTCACTGATGTTGGGCGGTCTCTGAGCCACTGATAATTCCTAAACATAAAAGCAAGGATCAAGTTATTTCTTTCCGTATTCTACTCCTAATTCTCCTACAAATACTAATGTATCCAAAACTGCATGAGCCTGGCTCTATGACACTGAGTATATACCATACACACTTTCACATTTTCATGTCCAGGCTTCTTCAGACAATATGAAGGCTTTAGCACAGGTTCCTAAGAAAAAACATACTGTCTTCCCAAGTGCAGAGCAACACAACCCTGGGGTTTCTTTTAGTGGTTATATAAGTGATCCTTTTCAAATTTTCTTTATGTAGTTGTCAATAAATTAGGAAATTTGTGGTGCAAATTGTTGTAATGCAAAGAAATTAATAGAGAGTATTAAAACACCTGAAGTATGAAGCTAAAGCAGGATGTACTGTCCTCCTAAGAGACAAGAAGTTACCTTGTCATTCTGGATCACTAGTAAAATATTTGTGTTTTGAATATAAACTAGAAATCTGAAATGCCAAACTACTCAGGTAAACCCTAGCAAAAGCTTGTCAGGGCATTCAGGAAATACCACAAAATCAACAATATAATTAATACTGGTCAGTAAAATGTGTTACCTACAGCATAACCTAGGGTCTATTAACATTTAGAGTTATGGAGCCTGGGCTCAAAAAACCCAGCACAAAAGTAATTAGATGCCTTTGCATCAATATTCCAAAACCAGCCCTAGCAAACAGACATTTCTGCATACTCAAAATGGAATCAGCACCCCTTGACCATCACGTACCTGAAGGGAATGACACAAAAGCAGATGCTCTGTCTTAGCTACTGAATCAGTAAATTGAGGATAAATCAACTGAAACACAGACCTCCATATTTAGCAAAAAGCATGCTAAATTGTCTCATTGCATTTCACCCATCTCCAGCTTTTTGTTCTGTAGTTCCTGCAGTGGGCACATCCAAATCCCAAGAGGAGGTCATGGATATAATGTTCCTTGCCATCTCTAGCATGACTCATGGATAGAGTTCCTTTCATTTCTACATCTATCTTAATCAGATTACTCCCCCTTCTTCAAAATTTTGAATTTTTTTCATGTTCCTTGGCTGACAATTAAGTATAAATACTAATTTATTTATCTAATTCAATCTATTTCATGTAATAAGAAAGAATCAAACCATATATAATGATAGTATATGGTTGCTGGTTCAGTCACTTTGACCTTATATATCAGATTTTCACTTTCCAGCAATTTTCATCACTAAATGTAATTAAATGACTGGAAACTAAAAAGCCAGCAAAAGAGAGAATATTAGGCCTTTCTTCTTTCCCATACAAATCCAATGCCATTTCCAAGCTGCAGCTCCTGCTCAGACGCTGTGAATCTACTGCAACTTTGTTCTGCAACATGACTCATTTTTTTACCTCTAGGTGTGGGGGCAAACCAAGCCAAGGATAATCTCAGGTTATACACAGGTGAGTAGATTGTGAGTTACTCAGGAAACAGAGATTACTACAGATATCTGAGCTGCTCAGGCTGAAAGTATTCAGGAGTTCTCTGCACTTGTCAACAGCAAAAGGTAGGCTTCTGCTGCTTTTTATTGTGCTGTGTGTGCAATGAATTTAACTGGAAAGGTACTTACTGAATTTCAAATAACTCTCTCTTTTTCCTCCTTCAGGCTCACAGGAAAATAAACATGACTTTCTTAGCTCCTGGGCTCTCCCTCCTTTTATTTTTGCTATTTTTCTGATTATTTTCTTAATATTCTCTCATATGAAAGATGCTTTCCGAGAACAATGATGGGGATCTGCATCTTTATTTATGACTTTGTGAATCAGCGTCTGGGTGATAGGAAGTGAAAGTTGCTCAGCTAATTACACACGCTTGATGAACTGCGTAATAACTGCTGCAGCACTGCACATTAATTGAATGCATATAAATGACAGCAGTTATTCTAACTTGAATGATGTGTGAAGAAGTGACGTCGCTCACAGTACCCTGATTATCTTTGTTTCCGGCTTTGGGAATCCAGCTTAAACAATTGTACTTTTACAGCACTGAGCAAAAATTCCCTAACAAAAAACATTAAGATGCCTCAAAGCCCAACATTTTAAACACAAATTGCTTTAAGTCACTGAAAGTGGATTTAGACATCTAAAAAAGCATACATTGAGCAACTACAATTAACAATGAATAATTAACAACTAGCTATGACTAACAGTCAGTAGGAGCTGTGAGAGCAAAAGCCTTGGATAATAAAGCCACATTCATTTAGATGCCTGGATATTGCCTTTAAAAAGCTAATACAGAGTTTACAGAGTTGAATTTTGCCCAACTCTAACCAATTTCCTGCTATGACACATTCCTAAAATGTATCTGTTCTGCAATAACAGGGATATATAACAACAGAAATAAAAAATATGGATTACAGCTAACAGGCAACTGTGTATGTCCACAGTACTCTTTGTTTATCCCAAAAAGCATTCTTGTTCACATGTAGTCCAGCTATTACATAACACATTCTTTTAAAGAAAACAATAAAGAAAAATAATTTGATGCAAAACAAACATGTAAAGTAGTAAAAAATTAGTACTTTAAACTAGCACAAAGTGCCTACTTAAAATCAGTACCAAAACATACCTTCTATATCACATGTTAACTGCTTTGGGAATTTGCAAATATTCACAAAGAAATCTGCAAATTCTTCCATACTATTTAACATGAAAAGGGTAGAAGCCAAGTTTCCAAAGCTTCCAAAAGCAGCCTAGTTTCCAAAGTGCCATGTCACAATATTTTAACAGTTCTCTACACCCCTATTAAGAGGTTTTGGGCTTTACAAAGAGAGCTGTAATCACAGAATAAAGGAAATCAACGCTGACTTTTAGAACCGGGTAAATGCAAAAGAATGTTTCACATCTACGTTGCAGGAAAGTTAACACTGTTCCAAGAAAACAGAGTGTATCCTGTAGAAAGTCAATGCAGATTTTCAGCACTGCATTGCTATAATACTTCATAGCCATTATACCAGACTACTGGAAGAGAGAGCTGTGGAGCTGTGCCAGAACCTTCAGTGGCAGCAGTACCTGTCCCCAGGCATAGAGCTACCTCCTCTGCATGCACATACAACACTCTGTATCCACATACGAGTGACACACACTCCTCTGAACCACGAGGCCAAGAGAGAAGCTGCCAATACGGTCAGCATGAGAGAGTGCAAGAGAGAGATGATCAGGTGTAACTGAGTTCTGGCTTTACAAATGTTATCTTCTCATTTGCTGTACATGGTCCTCTCTTTAAACACCTTTCTAGCTTCATTAGGACAAGACAGTCCCTAACAGTTCACAGCACCAGCAATCAGCCTCTTTGAGCTGTATTATTCGTTCTTCCTTTCCAAGGTTTCGATCTCTCCCCCATATTATTTTTTTTTGTCCACTTTATACATACCTCCTTTTCTACAAATTTTCTTGCCGGGTTTTCTGGCACATTCCTTGGATATTCTTTTGACTGAAAAATGAATAGAAGACTAGAAAATAACATGGAGCTCCATCACAGACAGTAGGAGCATGCAACACCACTATCTAACTTAAATATGACCTGCTTTATTAGGTGCGGAAGATTCTCAACTTGTTGTGCCTGCACATGCAATGGAAAAGCTGTTGATGCATCTTCCCAGAAGTCAGTGGGTGGCAATGAGAATTAGGTACCAACTTTGACCTAAAAATACACGTGCTGTGGGAGAAAAAGAATGAGTGTAGACAGAAAGGAAAACCAAAATAAAATCAAAAAGCAAGGACAAATGCACACAGAGAAAAGCAGCATGCAAACATGTAATACGCTGGCATGCAAACACAGAAAGCCATGCACACTACCAGTACGTGTGAATTAATATTGTTAGAATGTAGAACAGGAAAATAAGAAGATCTCCCTGTTTTGTCTGCTATTAACTCACCATCCTCGGTTGGGACATAGATATTTAAATAGAGGCAGTCTTCGTTCTGATCTTGTACGTAGGTGGAAACTACATCCAAGTTATTAGTAAACCACACGGGAAGCATGACTTCAGGCAACCTGCCTTCTATAATGTTCTGGGGACACACTGGAGCAAACTGGGTGGTATTTTTGATATCTGCCCAGGGAGATGGAGGCTCAGGAGGTTGAAAGCGGCGCTCCCCTGTTGGAGGGGCAGCATACGGAACCCCAAGAAACTGAATAACGGGCCCCAAAATTTCATTATTAAGTTCCTTCTTAATCCCTCTTATCTTGCCAAAGTTGGTGGTCACCACTGGGTTGGTATCATCCAATTTTTGAGAGGACACAGCTGCAGCGTGAAGCAAAAATCCAAGTATACAAAAAGCAAAAGTGGCATTCAATCCCATGTGTAACAGGCGGACTACCATCGCTCTCCATACACAGTTCAGCCACATGGATCTTGGAAAGGCCATGGTCCCACATTAGTTGTGTAACTACAGTGATGCAATCTGATTTGTATCCACTGGTGTAAAAACAGGGCGACCGAAGGAAACAGATCAGGTTTCCTAAATAGGTGCCTGTCAGAAAAATCTCAAAAGGCTTTTCATGCGGTAAGTATCTTCCATTGATTTCACACTTATTGAAGCTGCATCTTCACTCAGCACTATTTATCAGACTACATCCTATTGACAATTCTGTTTTCCATAGCAGCAATATGAAGAGAGCAGCCATTTACTGCAGAATCCCCTCTTATAAATCAAATCCAGTTAGCCGCAGGTCTATATCCTGGAGAAAATGAAAATAAATCATTAGTATGAAAGAGCTAATATGAGCAGAGTGATAACTAGATGTTTCACACGTTATTTACATACATTAATAGTTGCTAGAGTCATGTAAGTAAAACTGCAGTAGTTTATGGGTCCATGAAATGGTGGGTGAAACGCTGATTACTGGATTGTCTATAATATCACCTGTTGAATTTATAGAGACTTTTCAGAAGAAACAGGACTCACAAAAAATACATTTTTAAAATTCACCTTTTCAAGAATAAGCAATTTGCTGCCAGGCTACATTATATAAGTGCTTATGTTAATATTTTATTTAACTTAATCAGCTCATAATCAATTTTCACCTTGTTTGCACAAGTTGATTTATCAAAACGGAAGTAATTACTTCTTAAAGCAGAAGATAGGGAAATTAAGATAGACAGGCATACTGAAGACTCGAATGCATTTTATTTCATTAAAAGCAGTTTATAATACATACAAACATATTTTCTTCATTTTAACATACAAATTCTGCTTTAAACATTGAGGCAACATCTGTAAGGATAACATGAATTACTTATTCATAATAACCTGAATTAGCATACTTTATATGGTCTTCTTATTCCACAAATTTCTGATAGCTGATGAAAAACACCTACAGAGTGAAATGTCCACATCAATGAAGGACCAAAATCTGCTCCCACTGAAGTAAATGACAAACTCTAAATTTCCACAGCACTATAACTGGACCTCTGTGGGTTTTGTTTGGTTTCTTTTCAGAACTGATTTGGAGAAGGATATGAACAGGCAGTTTAGGGATGGAGCTTGTATATCACAATTTTTGCATCAGATCAATCCTGCATTCTTTATAAAAGACTGACTTCAGTGAAAAATGAAAATGCATGTTGAAAGCACTCAATTCCTACCATCCTTAATTTATAACATAAACAATAAGCGTTCCCATAGGACAGTAGAAATCTTATCTTTCATATATCCACATGCTCACTGAACAATATCCTAGAAAAATAATCAGTTAGGATCAGAGACTGTATAATCTGAAATTCCAGATGCTATTTTCAACTACTTTAGCTCAGAGGTTGTCACACAAGGCTGTGTTCCAGCACTTCTGAAAATTGCTCAGTGCATATCATTATATCTTCCATATTCATGTGAAACATATTTCCAACACGACTTACAATATCCTATTATTTAAGATGCAGCGTTATACACAACATAGCAGAGTAATCTTACACTCCCTATTAAGTAGTGTATAATGCACAAGAAATGTGTTCTGCTTTGTATAGGAAACATTTAAACCACCTGCTTTTGAAACAGCATTGGCAACTTTAATGAGAATTGTTTTTTTATCATGTCTATACACATTGTAGAGAGAATTCAAAAGAACGGCTTGTCTAATAGTCAGACTACCCTGCAGTTTGGGTTATTAAAAAGGAGATTGTAAAAGCTATATAGGACAGCAGGAGATTTGGTTCATGTCTAGTGTTCCTTTAGCTCTGAACAATCTATCTCAGGAGGCAATAAGGAGATAGATGAAGCTTTTCCGCAATTTTCCCTCTCCCTTTTATTTCTCTGCTAATTCTAACACCTTCACTGTGAAACTGCTTTTACAAACAGACTTATATCCTTCATTCTCCAGCTGCAAATTCTTAGCATTTGCTGGAAACACACCAATTTAGCTGCAGAAAATAATTCCCCAAACTTGATATATGTGTTTGCATACACTTACATGGAATGGCAGACATTTGCCTTGTGGAGGATTGTTGTTTTGTGGCAATTCAGATTTTAGGGATGGTAGGGTATTACTTGACAAATAGTAAAGACAGAGTATGCAGACAGGTGCCAGAGCAGAAGGCACAGGTATAACTTTTCTGAGTTGATGTACATGGAAAGATAGAAGCTTATTCCTTAGTAGTATTCAAAAACCTCCACAGATTTAAAACTTTTCCACTGGGTCTTAAAATTTACGGGGTTTGTTTTCCTGTCAGGAATGGAAAAGTGTACTCTCTCTTCTTTCTCAAACTCAAACATGTAAATAGCAAAAACTTCGTCAGTAGCCCTCCTCTGCTAGTTCACAGCGTCTGGGGAGGGTCTGAGGACAACAAATCCAACATAGCTACCCCAAGGAAAAACATCCCTCTTCATCTCAAGTGTCTGAGTTGGTTCATTGTAGACAATTACCAAGACGCTACTAAAAATTCATTTAGCACCTGTTTTTAGATCTAATACAATTTTTAGCACACTTTCTATATCTAAAATGATAAATTCAGTGTAAATTCAAAGCAAATCCTAGAGCTGGCCTACAGTTCTAAGCTTGTCCATCTGCTGGTTTGCTATTGCAGTTGAACAGTTCTGCTGCAATCTGAAGCTCTAGTTTGTCTCCCATGGACAAGGTTTCACTCTAAGACAGACACAGACAGGATGCTAAAAAGGTAGGAATATAAATAAATGCTGTGCTTAGCTATTCCTAATTAATTAACTATTGGGTAGTAGCTAGCCTTAGTGAATGGATGGATAGGCTATACAGGGCAGCAAATTGTAAAGCACTTGCAGAATTTGAATCAACAGATTTTCACCGTATTTGCAACTTGAATTTTGGATTTGCTCTTTTTAAGTCTTTCTTTCTAAATGGCTAAGTAACAGTTTATTTTTGAGACTGAGCGGTCAGATATTCAAGCCTGTCACTGGCTGCCCTGAAGCTATTACATTAAAAACACAAACTCAACGCAAATAAAAAGACTGAGATTAATCAAATCTTTTGAGACTTTCATGCCAAAATTTCATTTTGAGGGCTACGTGCAAGGGCAAGCAGGGAAGCTCGCCAGGAGCATGTCTTATAGTTGAGAGTCAAAGTTGGACAAAATTCTCCTCAGTCCTTCAGCAGGTGATCGATATAGGACATCCCCTTGGTATCTGGACTTGACTGAACAGGAATCAGTGGAAAAAAGAGAAGCAATAAACATGAGGAGGAATGATCAGGGGGATGGGCAGGAGAATAAACTAAAGAGTAACGATGATCAATCTTGGGCAAGATCCAGCATCAAAATTATGTGGATCTGAGGAGGAGGAGAAAAAACATTTTCAGATTTTACTATTGTCTAGATTTGAGGATCACAATTGCTCCCTGTGGTAACACAAATGAATTCTACTGTAACAGGTATTTAATAAAGTCTTTCATGGTCTTTTGAACATTCTATGCTACATAGAGGTTTTTTCTATCATCTATTATTTTATTATCTTCCTTTCTGAATTCAAATTACTTTATAGCTCAGATTCTGACATACTTTAGAGAGGCATTTAGTATGCCAAGGAGCGAACAATCCAAGATAACTTCAGTGCATCTTTGCATTTCCAATGACACAGAGCATCCCACAACAGGTCACATCTGCTGCAAACTGCAGCAGCTAAACTCCTCTGTTACTAGTGCACAGACCTTCAAATCTTAAGGGATGGTTTGATCTGTACCCCCTGTCAATAGCTCCAATGGATTAATAAAACCTTTGGTGGTACCCAAGGCTTCTGGACATATGCCAACTTCAGCACATGTAAAGGCTATCACTATTATGATACAGAAAAACAAAAAGGCCATTTTCTTTTTGGCTGAAGATGGACTCTATGATTTGATATTCATGCTTAAAAAATCCTTTCCACCTCAATTTTGCTACTACATCCCAATCGCACAAATATTCATACAAAGTGATTGCAAGAGTTTGGAACACCACACAGTGCCACTAGGTTACAAAACACAAATGCTATTTTGCAGAACCAGCTACATTTGCATCTGCATTTATTTACAGCAGTCTCTACTTAGAACTAAGAGCGCAGAGATGCTTCATGTCTCTAAGAAGAAATCCATGTTCTAAGACACACTACCATTCCAAACAGGGACACAGCCAGTGGAACAGAGGCCATTAGAGAAAAGACTCTGACCCAGGGTGAACACTACCTTGGTGTGACACACCAATTGTAAACATGATCAGACAAATCCTCAAGAGATGCATCACGGAATTTCCCATCTCTTTTTGCGTTTCAAGTTAGCAAAGGGAAGCACTGTGCCAAATACGGCCTATTTTCTCTCAACACAGTAGTAAAAAAAGGCCAGGTTGGATGGGGCTTTGATCAGCCTCGTCTAGTGGAAGGTGTTCCTGCCCATGGCAGTGGGTCAGAACTAGATGACCTTTAAAGGTCCCTTCTAACCCAAACCATTCTGTGAAAGATTTTAAAACAGATGCTGCTCCTGTCTATTTCCATAAATACTTGGTGAAGGGATGGGATTTACATAGGTTTATTCAAGAAATTAACTACATGCATTTAAAAAAACAGGTCTATGAAATGGTAATTGAGGAGACTGCAATCCTGAATATGTAATACACATAAGAAGGGCACAGCTCTGGTGAGATTTGGTTAGCTCCCACAAGCCAGCACCTCCTCCACCTCAGAGCAGCTACAGGTCTGGAAGCTCCCGAAAGTTACTACTAATCCAGCCCTTTTGAGATGCAGGACCTTTGCTGAGACCACCAAGAAAGGTATGAATAAGACATCATCCTGATGGGCTTGCACCCCCACCCCACATTAGTATGAGATTACAAGTGTTATGTTACAAGGGTCTGCAAACAACCCAGTGGCAAGGATTTGCAGATGCTTCAAGCTGTGTAAATATATCACTCCCAGATCAGAGAGATTGATTCCTCAGTACTATTCTCACTTTTACCTTTATTTAACATGATGTTTTGTACACCAATTCTCATAACCAATTAGTGAAGAATATAGTATTTAAATACAGTATTCAGTGCAACTCAATTCAGTAGCAAAGTTGGTGAATAGTTTAATTAAACTGAGTACATGCCATAAGACTCCTTTAAATTGTGATGCATTTTTCAGCTGCACTATATTTTTGTTCTTCCCCATTAGTGGGAATATTCACTAATGCTAACTCCTTATTAACTAGTATTTTCATGATCAAAAGATCCCTTTAAATAATTTCTGCAACTTAGTT